TGCAGAGGAACGGGAGTGAATGCAGAGGCGTTGTGTGCGCTGTGTAAACATGATGGTTGTTGTTCTAGACTAAAAGTGAACATGCATTTACTCATCTCACTTGCACAAAAACAGATTCAGTATTCCTCTAAATTAATAAAAAAACAGTGAAATGCAAACCTGTAATAATTAAATGTTTAACACAATTATCCTTTATGTATTTAATTCCATTTTATTAACCAATGTCTTTACTGCTGACCTTGATGATCCAATTCAATCATACTAAGCAAAAAATGACTTCAGATAAACATAACATTTGTGTTTGTAGTGTTGAACTTTTTTCTCCTGTGTCCTATTCTTCATGCAATCCAGAATGGAAGCACAGCTGAAAGGTTTGTTTGAGCTGCGCCCTCTGCTGTACAGATATTAATTTACATTTCCTTCAGCCTGAGTCTTATTCATTTCACTTTTGGTGTGAAAGGGCTTTTATATTGCCAAAAATATAACTTTTTTATTTTAAAAACAAACAAGCAAGCCCTGTCCAGATTTTAAAAGTAACGCAAAAGTAACGTAACGCATTACTTTCCATAAAAAGTAACTAGGTACCGTAATTAGTTACTTTTTTTTATGGAGTAACGCAATATTGTAATGCATTACATTTAAAAGTAACTTTCCCCAACACTTTATACACACACACATACAAAGAAAAACAAGTAGATAGAATAGAAAAAAAAGAAAGCTAGTGTTTGTTTGTTTTTTGCATTTACACTCACTATTTCAAATCACATTCAAGACAATACTAACTAAAGATGCATGTAAGCGAATAACTTTTTTGTCAAACAAACATTGATTTCGCTGTGACGACACATGCACGTGCAACACTGCAAAGCAGGAAACTAAGGAAAACACCTACTGGTTAGCACTGAGCTATGGCTGCCTTTTCGGTTTTAATAGTAGCCTACTATTTCTCGTCATCTGCAACACTTTGTGTGAATGATCTTGAACAGACTCACTGCGCGAAATGTTCTGACAGCTGTCAATCATCACAGTTAACGTGGACATTCAACTACCGCTTTGTGGTTGACGGTTTTTTCATAAAACGTCATGACGCAATGTGTTCCGTACGTCATGACGTAGTTATCCACACGTATACGACCCGCACAAGTTCAAACCCAAACATATGCATAATTTGAAAGTTGAATTATCTGCAAGAGTTAAATGAAAAATATTAATGTTTTTACAGATACATTTTAGACTTGAGCTGTACGGTCAGTGTAAAGAGAAACAAAGACACGCGATAAACTGCGTTTGGGAGAGTTTTCACAAATCGAGTTTGACCTAAAAACAATGTTTTTGTATTCGAGCAGTCTGCGTGTTTATTGGTAATAGACGTTAAACATAAAGAACGCCTATTTTTCACATTCCTTATAGCGGACTTTACCAAGGGGTTTACGGACAAGTGCTTTGCTGTGAAAAAATTCACAAATCGAGCTGGTGAAATTGACACCGGTTTCAATCCTCTAAGTGTCCAACTTTTGGAGCTATAGGCATTATAAAATCGAGAGTCGCAACGAAAAAAAAAACTGATTTCGGCCAGGAGTACAGCGTCACCTGAATTCACAAATCATGCAGAACGACACTTGGTTTTATTTTCATGTCTATGACAGCGCACTGTGTATTTATAGCCAAAAGAAATCTGAATATCAAACCGCAAACTATCTTTATTGCGCGGAAACGGGCTTCCATACAGATCTCACATCAGCTGCTTTAAACCTCAGTGTCTAATTCATAAACATCTCTTTGCCTGTTAGAGCTGCTGCTGCTGGAGACAGAAGTCTTAACAGCATTAACATCTGTCAATTCCCAGTGTGTGCACTCCTCAAACAATACTCGGTTGAAGCACTTTTTGCTTTTAATACAGCAGTCTTTTTGCATAAGAGCCTATCATCTTGATTTGTCTTTTTTTTTTTTTATCATTCTTCTTTATAAAAGAGCTCCAGATGGAAATGTTTTTTCTTTTGCTTTTTTCCTTAAGGTTTCTTGCCTTTGCAACCATGCAGCATGTTTTAGGTGCAGATGCTGCCCACAGATCAAGAAGTCTATTGTAACCCGAATCATGTATGCCTTCATCCTTTTGCTTGGTACCATCATTGCCTGTGTCATGTTGTCACCTGGTGTTGAACAACAGCTTAAAATAGTAGAATAAATTATTTTGAAGAATTAGTAGAGTTATTCAAGTAATGTAGACCAAATGGGGTTTTTACATTGTGCTGAAATGATTAGATTTTTGTCTCTGATGCTGGGATAAAATACTGTTTGTAGTTCATTTGAAAGTTGGAGACATTTTATGGTTTAGCAGCATGCTGAAAGGATTTGAATTTCTTCATTCTTAGATCCCTGGTTTCTGTAGTGGAGGAGCAGGATCCGGTATACCAGGAATTGAGGCCAATGTTCAGTGTGAGATTTTTCTCAGCTATAAGGCTGTGTACCGAGTTTGTTGTGGCATGAGTTTGTTCTTTCTCACGTTCTCCTTGCTCACGATCAATGTGAAGAACAGCCGAGATCCCAGAGCTGCAATCCACAGTGGGTTAGTCCATTAAGATGATGTGGACCCATTCCAAACTAGAAATTCTTCTTGTTGATTTGATTTACAATACATATAATCTGTTTATTGCTACAGCACAGTTTGTGGAAGTAATACTATAGTATTTGGTAATTTTATGAATCTATTGAGACATCTCTATATTTCCTTAGGTTCTGGATTTTCAAGATTGCAGCCATGGTTGCTGTCACTGTTGGTGCCTTCTATATTCCAGAGGGGCCTTTTACCCGAAGTAAGAATTGAACTCATTTTATAAATCTGATCTGATTGGTTGGCAATTATGCAAAGCTATACTTAATGTTTTTGTTATTGTTTTTTATATAAGTGTCATGAATACAATGTCCAAGTTGATATCTGTAATTAAATGATATCAGATATCACTGCAATAGGAGATAGTATATTAGAAGTCACTCTTGTTTCTGTGATAGTCTTATGCTCTGCAAAGAACATTTTTTTCAGGTGAATCTTTGCCAATGATGAGACTACATGTTAATAATAAGGTTAAAGTGTTTGTGGAAATCGCTTAATTTGCAACTGACCCTTTGCTAAGTCTCAGCTTGAAGGGGTAGTGTCTTTTGTTAATTTTCGAAAAACAAATGAAGATTTTTTTTTTATTTTTATGAAACCTAAGAGATTTTTGTACTTCAGAAAGTTAATAGAAAATATTGCAAAATTAATATTTGAGTGGTTTAATCCAAGTCTTCTTAAAGGTGACATATCATGAAAATCTGACATTTCCAGGTTTTAAGTGCTATAATCAGGTCTCCGGTGCATCTACCAACCAAGGAAACGTGAAAAAGATTAACCCAGTAACTTAGTTTTGGGAAGCCTTTTTCTGCAAGCGTCTGAGAAAACAAGCGCATCTGATTTCGCTCCCTTGGTGACGTGGCAAAGGGATCTCATTATAATATTACCGCCCCTTAATCTGTAAGTTTCCACCCACGGCGCCGTTATTTGATTTCGCAAGCGACAACGTTGTACCAGCTCTAATGCCATGGCGAAAGTTTGAGCAAAACATGCTAACTGTTCTGTCTTTGGCTGCACAGACGAGCACAGAACACTGTTTAGAGTCCCAGCCTCAGAGGAGACAACAGAGCAGTGGATTTATTGATTTATTTACTGTATATTGCTGCTGCCACACATATCTAAAATAAACATGTGATTTTTTTCCCAGCAGTTTACCTTCACAGTCATAACCCACTGTTTTTGTAACTCGTGCGTGTTTTTAACGTAAACTTGTGTGTGAATGAGAACTTAGTTTAGTACTCACATGCTGTGACAGCCGCTTTCTGTGCGTGTGCTTCGGATGTGTGCTCTCAGAAAGCCATATATCAGAAGTTTAAACTCATATGGTTTAAAACGCATGATTTCAGCGCGATAAACATGATAATCAGAACCAAAACAGATGTTTTTAGTAGGTCTGAGCTGTAATGGCGCAGCTCTATTCTGGAAAAGGGGGCGGGGAGCAGCAGCTCATTTGCATTTAAAGAAACAGACCTGAAAAACAGTGTATTTCTGCTTCCACTCAAAATAGGCATTTTCAAAATGTTATAATAAATGATCCGTGGAGTATTTTGAGCTGAAACTTCACAGACACATTCTGGGGACACCAGAGACTTATATTACATATTGTAAAAAGGGGCATAATATGTCTCCTTTAAGAGAAACTTATATGCTCTTTATATGAGAACGCTTTATATGATGCTTTAGGGAAGCACTTTTGAGCTTCCATTTACCATATGTGTGTTAATCAATGTTTATAATGTTCAAAATAATTACGTTCTTTATATAAAGCGATTGAATCTCTTCAGAGGACTTGAATTAAACCACTTGATACATGTGGAATACTTTTACCATGTCTTTTCATACTTTTGTAAGAACGATGAAAATTTTGGTTGCATGAATTTTCAGTGGATGGACAACAATGTGTTCTGAAGATGAACATAACATATTAGGTGAGAAAATGATGACAGATTTTTCATTTTTGGGTGAACTATCCTTTCAAAGGTCTAACTATCATAAGGTACAACCCTTGGCATCCCATTACTGTCAGGTTGTTGACTTTTCTAGTGTAAGTATACGGAAGTCCTGTGTGTTTAAATCATTGCATGCTGTCAATTTAAATATACTGTATGTCAGCCCTCATTCCTAAATACACACATGTATAGCAACAGTAAAGATATTAATAGTTCTAAGGTAAATTATTGTTACATAACATTTAAATATTGATTTAGGTTATGATAAGGTGTGCAGGTAGTAGTATATTATGGTAACTAAAGAGTTCAGAGTATAGTGAGTGAGTGTTATGGATGTTTTTGGACCAGATCTGTTGACTTTACTCTTTTCACTGTGATAAGCATCTTTGTTTTTAATGACGTTAGTGCGAGGCTCGGCGACGGGTCAGTTCTGCACAAATTACACACTGCAGCTTTAATGTTGTTAATGGGAGCAAGCAACCAAACAACCATTCAAACTATTTATACTTAACCCTTGTTTTATGTTCGATTTCTGGGTACGATTTTGATGGAGCAGGTCAAATTGACCCTAATTGGATTCAATGCAATTCCCTAAATATCACATTATCAAAAACAAGAAGAAATCAGGTATGAACGGAACAATTTTAACATCAGTATTTGTCACACAGTACAAACAATTAATATCAAAAAGTATGATTTTTAAAAATGTTTTTTTTTGTTACAAATTATGTAGGAACAGTAATAGATTAATTTATGACAAGAGTGCACCTCAAAACCTATACATCATAATAGGAGTTCTGCCCTTTGTCACATAAATTCTATTTCATTTCCTTTTTCCCTATTACATGTTTTAGTAATCAATATAAATTATATATATCATTTGCAAGCTTAAACCCTCAAAATTCATCCTGTGAAAACCATTTTAAAATTGGACATTGTGTTGCCATGGAAATGGTACTTTAAAATCTTTTAGGGGTTCCTCCTCCTTAGTGGGGGTGTCATTTTTAAAAATATATTACGGTCTTTTAAAATCAATTTTTTTTTTTAATAATCTTGACAAAATACATATCGTTGGAAAGGTCTGAGTCTCAAGATTCCATATTTGGTGGTTATTTTGTGATAGAAGTAGACATTTATAAATTTGTGACAAAACAATTGCATAAAACATTCAATGGAGTTTGAATGGCACTCGGTGGCTAGTTTTGGTATAACGCCTAAACAAAATTGCATAGGAACCACAATTTTTTTATTATCAACTTCAAATTTGGAACACAACTTATTTAGACATGTTCATGGCCCTAAATGAGAAAAAGTTAAAAAATTTCTGAAAGAAAAAGAAAAGTTAAATAGTATTTGATATACATTGAAAATGTCATATACATTGAAATCATAGCTCACTTTTACCATCTGAGTCTGAGAAAGTCTTTTTCAGTACAGAAAATGAGGAAAAGCTGATTTTTTCGCTTTCCAGGGTAGTAAAACACCAACATAACAACATATACCCAAGAAATATATTTAATTTGGGTCTGTACAGTTGACCCGCGAACATCAAAATCGTTACAAATTGATGTGTGTGCTCTTCAAAACACATCAGCGTATCCACACTTTGCATGCATGTTCATGGCCCTAAATGAGAAAAAGTCACAAAATTTCAAGAATAAAATCACAGGTTAGCTGGTATTTCCGACGGCTCAAAAATCAAAATGGGTCAAATTGACCCAGAACATAATACAAGGGTTAACTATTTTTTGAGCAATTTGTGCTTGCAGAGGATTTTTTTTAAAATTCTGTTTATTATTAATAACGTAATAACTTATTAAGCATTGCTTGTGCATCACCTCTAGGGGCATTGTTTTTCATCGTTCAGTCCAATGGCTAAAGGAAAAACAAACAGTGCTTTTTGCAAGTTTTTGGAGGCCTCCATGAATCATATGCTCTCCTTTCTTTATGCCCAGCTCAATTTTTGCTTGCAAGAAATCTAAGTTAATTTATGTCGTTTTCTTTAGTGTGGTTTATTGTGGGAAGCTGTGGAGCATTTTGCTTTATTCTGATTCAGCTGGTTTTACTTATTGACTTTGCCCACTCATGGAATGAATCCTGGGTTGATAAAATGGAAAAAGAAAACAGAAAGAGGTGGTATATAGGTAGGTAAATATGTTACCTGTGTAAACCTATTTGTTATAATTAGTGCTGTCGAACGATTAATCGCGATTAATCACATCCAAAATAAAAGTTTCTATTTACATATCTTCATATGTATATCTACATAATAAATATGCACAGCACACACACATACACTATGTGAACAAAAACTTTTATTTTGGATGCGATTAATCGCGATTAATCATATGACAGCACTAGTTATAATATGTATGTTGAGTAATTTAATGCTCCTTCCTTCTAGCCTTGCTGTCTGTAACAGGAGTGAACTATATTCTGTCCTTCACGGCTGCAGTTCTCTGCTATAACATCTACGCTCAGCCAGAAGGATGCGTGCTTAACAAGTTCTTCATCTGCTTCAACATGTTATGTGTCGTAGCTTCTGCTCTGTCTTGTAGCGTCTGCGTAAAATCGTGGATGGTCTTTGGGGTTTATGGCTTAAGAGACCCCTTTTAGCCTTTGACATTTGCATATAAATTACAGTCCTGGCCACAGATCACACATTTATATGGATGCTAAATTGCCAATGGTTCCTCTCACTATCAAGATGTTGAACAGCTCCACCACTCGCATCTCCCCGTCTGACTTCAAACAGTTTCCAAAGACAAGTAAATGACCCCGCCCGGTGCCAGGCGCCGATGGGCCTGGCTGACCAGCAAACTACAACAGGCTCACATAACACACACACACACACACACACACACACACACAGAAGAAGACAAAGAAAACTTCCAGCTCACTTCTAAGAGAACTCAAGAACCATTGTCTACCGCATCAGAAATCTTGTTCAGCAATCGAAGACAATGCAAGTAACCATTTACAACTATTTAGATGCGGGTTTAGGTTTGAGCCCCTTTTTTAAGGTGATTTTTGATTCTTTGATGATTCTCATTAGGTTGTGGTTAATTGATGTGAAATACTGCCATTATTTTGCTCTTCTCTCTCTCTCCCTTACTTTCCTTCATTCTGTATATATGTGTTTTGCTTAGTTTAGTTGTGTTAGCTATAGTTTCATGTATTGAATCCCTTATATTCACAATTGATTGTCTCTGTGTGCTGAGTCACTGAATGTTGATTCTTGCTACATGCTAAATTGCTGCTAGTACTGCGAAGGAAGGAGGACGACGGTGATTGCAAATATCTGTGGTAAAAAGACGCAGGGTTATCCGCGAGTGCACACTTTGTATGGTGCTGGGCGATCGATTCAGTGTTCTGAGGAATGATTTCTCAGTCCAAACTGAGGATACCAGTGCTGAGTGTGTTCGGATGCGGGAGCTAAAGTGTGTGTTGCCCAGGTACCTTCCTTCATAGCCTCCAATTCATCTTTCAAAGCTGAGTTCCAAGCCGACTTCTGGGGGAGTAGCGGCTCATCTCTACGGCTGGTTGGCTGGCTTCGTCTGCGCACATACACACCACTCGCTCTCGCCCCTTTCGTCACACACCTTCATTGTCCATTGTCCTTAGTATATAATTTTTATTTTTATTTTTCTATTATAAGCTGAACAGTTTCCTATATAAATCTTATAAATCTTGATATTTATTTTCCCTTTTTCCTTTGTGGTTATATCCATTGAGAACTGGACTCTTGAACCTATCGAATTGACTGCGGGAATAGAGTGGACTGGCATCACCCGATATCCGAAACTCTTAGATCTCTTTGACAAGGTGTAAAGGAGTACCAGTGATGTAATGATTTTTTTTGGACAATTGTGCTTTGCGTATATGAAAATATAATAGGATTTTGAACTAAAAACCCTCGATTTCTTGTGCAGTTATTCATTTTTTTTTTGTTTTTTTTTGTGTTTG